AAAAAAAAAAACTCAAAAAACTGTTCTAATCTGAATGTTGGTTTACAAAACAGGTTAAAAAAAATGCCACATAATAGTGCATCTACAGAGGACTTTTGTTAGAAACCACTTCAATTTACCCAAATATTTACTCATCTCTTACTACATGCCAGATGTGGTTCATATATGAGTCCTTAGTGTCCAGGAAGGGAAGTTTATTGTTAAAAGTTGAAGTCTGAAGGGGCTTTGTTAATAAACTTTGAGAAATTGGCAATAGAACTACAGATTTAAGTCTGCTTCCATTTTTCTCTTTGCTTTCTACCTGCAGTCAGACTCAGTCACTTGCCCACTTGAGGTGGCACTGCTATGGAAGGTGGGTGAAGGCAATGGGCATCCTGGTGTGATCCGCCTACTTGACTGGTTTGAGACACCAGAGGGCTTCATGCTGGTCCTTGAGCGGCCTATGCCTGCCCAGGATCTTTTTGACTACATCACAGAGAAAGGCCCACTGGGGGAAAGCCGAAGCCGCAGCTTCTTTACTCAGGTAGTGGCAGCTGTCCAGCACTGCCACTCCCGAGGAGTTGTCCATCGTGATATCAAAGATGAGAACATCCTGATAGACCTGTGCCGGGGTTGTATTAAACTTATTGATTTTGGTTCTGGTGCTCTGCTTCATGATGAACCCTACACGGACTTTGACGGTAAGTTTTCCTCCCTACATCTCATGATGGGAGGTTTTTGAGATTTAGTAATGGGTTGTCCTTGTAACCTTTGATATATTGTATCTTTTATTTGTTTTCTGTTCTTTAGACAGGGTCATCTGTTGCTCCAGCTGGCCTTGATCTTACAGAGATCCTCCTGCCTCTGCCTCCCAAATGCTGGGATCAAAGGTGTACGCCACCATACCCAGCTTGATTTTTTTTTTTTCTTTTTGAGACAGGGTCTCCCTGTAGCCCCAGATGCCTGGAACTTGCTATGTAGACCAAGCTGGCCTCAAATTAAAAAAGATCCACCTGCCTCTGCCTCCCAAGTGCTGGGAATAAAGGTGTGTACCACTGTGCCTAGCCTGTTTTTTATTAACTTTTTTTTTTTGTCTTTTTGAGACAGGTTCTCCCTGTAGCCCCAGATGACCTGGAACCTGGAACTCACTATGTAGACCAGGCTGGCCTCAAACTCACAGAGATCCACCTGCCTCTGCCTCCACTACACCAGCTTTTAACTTTTAAGTGCTGTTTTTAGCTATTGTTGCTGGTGATGGGACTCTGCTGTGAGATTTAAAGAGCTACTATTCTAGTGAGAGAAAACCTCCTTTAATGAGCTCATACTTCCTGGAGGAACAGGGGTCGACGAAGGGCATCATCAGAAAGGAATCTAACCCTGGGTTTGTGTGCAGGGACAAGGGTGTATAGCCCTCCAGAATGGATCTCTCGACACCAATACCACGCCCTCCCAGCCACTGTCTGGTCACTGGGTGTCCTCCTCTATGACATGGTGTGTGGGGATATTCCCTTTGAGAGAGACCAGGAGATTTTGGAGGCTGAGCTCCACTTTCCTGCCCATGTCTCTCCAGGTGAGGTCCTCATTGACCCCAGCCCAGCAGCCTCTATTCTTCCTAGTACTGGTACCCTCTACTGACTGCTAATCTTCCCTGTGCTTCTTTGCCCATAGATTGCTGTGCCCTAATCCGCCGGTGCCTGGCCCCTAAACCCTGTTCCCGACCATCACTGGAGGAGATTCTGCTGGACCCCTGGATGCAGACACCAGCTGAAGAAGCACCCATTAACCCCCCCAAAGGAAGCCCCACCCCCTTGCCCTGGTCCCTGCTTCCCTAGGCCCAGCCAGGCTCTTCCTGGCTGGAATCCCATGGTCATGCCGCAGGGATAGATGCACATCTGTTGACCTGGTTATACAGGTTGTTAAAAATCCAGTATTACTAAGGTCAGGGAATAGGGATCAGGGGTCAGAAGATCAGCCAAGTCTGCCCAGTTCCCTTTCCAATCCTGTGAAGGAATCCTTCTCCAAGAACCTGTGGTCCCTTATTTGGGAGGGGGAAATTCCTTGCTTCTTGTTCTGTTAAGGATGTTTATCTGGTTGGAGTTCCTTCCCTTTTGAGCCCTAGGACCCTTATTCTGACATTGTAGTCCCTACACTGGCACCTCCTATATACTACTACCATGAATTTAGACACTTAGTTCAAATGCTCTCACTTGGGCAAGTTTGGCAAGGGTGCTTTCCTTTAAATACCCCAGAAGCGCTTTCTTTTAGCAGTTACCCCTAGTTTGGGGTCTCATTCAGATCAGCTGCTTCCCTGTCTCAGCCCAGAATTGCTTATTCTGGGGGAAGTAATGCCCTATTAGTATCCCAGGGCTCTTATTTTTTGTTTTTGTTCTCTTTTGGTGACTTTTAGTGAGGGGACCCTACTGTTATCCCAAGTGCTCTTATTCTGGTGAGAAGAACCTTACTTCCATAATTTGGGAAGGAATTGGAGATGGGCATCACCTGGATACCACCAGAGACTAGGATGGGATGGATGGTTCGGGGAAGGGGGAGGATGGGCTGGGGGAAATAAGTCTTACTGTTTGTTCTCCTGGAATCCTCCTTCTCCAACTTTTTGCTGCCTCCTCCTGAGCCAGGATTGTCCAATTGCTAAAATGTAAATAATGTACTGGAGGTAGGAGAGCTACTAGTGTGCCCTCCTGTCCCTACTCCCCCTGCCTGGATTATTTAAAAAGCCATGTGTGGAAACCTATTTAATAAATAATGAAGTCACAAGTGATTGGCCATTTATAGAGGCAAGCATTTGTGGAGCAATTACTGTATGCTGATCCTAGAGATGGCTGGAGAAAAACTGAAGAAAAATGCCGGGTGGGGCCGCTGTGACAGCTTTTCTTTTCAACACAGGACTTCCAGCGCTGGTCTCAAACTTGGGAGTGCTGGGATTTACAGGCACAATGTCAGGATCCAACTAGAATCTTCCTTGCGTTTTCTATTAACCTTTAAATCCTACCTTGCCTTTACTTTTTTGAATTCTCCTTACTTTCCCCATCCCTTTGACTTCTCCGGCGCCCTACCCCATTTCCACCTACAATGCTGACTAGCCCCCCTAAATCTATTTTAATCGCTGCACTCCGAAGGGCTAGTCCCGTGGCTCATCTGGCCCGCCTTCTCTAAAGTCTCATTTGTCCCAGAAGGCCACGGTGCTTAAGGGGTGGGATCTAGCTGGGAGAAGGAAATAGAATTAAGTCTCATGCGAAAAGGGTGGTGCCATCTGAAGGTTCCAATAGTCAGCAGAGATGGTAGAGCCACTGAGCCAATGGAAACCATGAGAGAGTTTAGGTGGGTGGTAACCGACAGTCGGATCAGTGAGGCCAGCAAACACAAGGTGGGGGCGGATGTTAGTGGCTAGAGTGTGCAACGGCAGTGGGAGACGGAATCAGCCGCACCCTGGGTCCCGTTCTGATGGAATCTGGGAATCCCGAGACCATCTTAGAGTCTGCCTTGGAACGGGTGATGAAAGCCACCGCCCTGACCTAGCCCACGCTCTGCCTTCTACTCCGGAAGCGGAAGTGATGGACACGGAAGCGGTCTGTTGCCGAGGGGACGGGCCGGGCAGATGCCAACATGGCAGCGGTTGGAGTTGACGGATCCACTGCGGCGGAGACAGTCTCTGCCAGTGCTTTGGAGCCTGGGGCCGCCACTACGGGTGAGACGGACTGAGGCCCAGCAGTCTACCGGGCGAAGGTCGGGATCATTGAGGGTGGAATGGTTCCTGACTGAAGTGACAGCGAGCATCTCTTGTGGACCGACCTCTGTGTGTGTGTGTGTGTGTGTGTGTGTGTGTGTGTGTGTGTGCGCGCGCGCGTGTGTGTTTGGGTGCAGGGTGCAGGAATCAACTGTTCCGTTCTGTGGGTGGTTGTGGTGAGGTTTCTTCAATATGTAGGGAATTTCCTTTTTGAGGAAGCTAAAACCATTGAGACTGTTAGGGGTGTGTGGGTCCTTGATTGTGGAAGGGAGAGATCATTCTGAAGGTGTGAGAATTTTATAGAAGGGACAGACTATTCTGAGGGTGGTGACTCCTTCCCTATAAAGGAACCTTATAAATTGTCAGGGTGGGGCAGATCCTTCCTTGTATGACATGTGGGTCCATTTTGAGCTTGAGGGTATCCTTCATTACCTGGGCAAATGTTCTGGGGAGTTCCTTTCAAATGTAGATAGTTTTTTTATGTTATGGTGGGAGAGTTTCTTCCTTACAGGTCAGAGAAAGAACATTTTGAAGTTGCCAGGTCCTTTATATCAAAGAGCTCATTGTTAGTGTGAGTAGAACAAAGAATGATTCCTTGTCTTTGGGGGTGGTTTAGTGTACAGTGGTGGTAGGATGGGCCATGTTGAATAGGGAAGGATTTCCTTATGTGTTGAGATAAACAGACCATTTTTGGTGGTGTAACCATTGTATGAGAGACAATGGGGAGATGGAAGAAATAATCCTTAGGGGGTGGACATCATAAACAATGGTCCCATTCAATGTATTGGGATATTATTTCTTATATGGGGTGGTTCCTCAAGTAGAACCATCATTTCATAAAATGCCAAAATCCCTCACTTTGCTCATTGATAACATGAGAATTTCCATAGTACCTTCAGAGAGTAAAGTGATGTGATTCATTTAGGAACTGTTTAAACCCCTTAGCCCAGGGATAGGTGTACAGTAAGCACTCAATAAATGTTAGGAATGCTGTCTGGTATAAGGCAGTAGAACACTCACATTGATTGATTTACTTTTAGCTCTGTTATAGAAAGAGTTGCTTCTCAGGGGAGGAAAAGGAGCCAAGGTGGGTGTCTAGGACCTGCCCTAGTCATTTCCTGACACCTTGCTAAGGATTTCAGGTAAAGGCTGGCCAGGGTGGAACCCACTTCTCTCTGACACTTCGGGCCAGTAGCTGAGGGTGTGAAAACAGGTAAGGATCAGACATTGAGTTAGGATGGGCAGGCAGAAGGAGGAAGATACAGTGGCTAAGAGGTTTCTGGTTGAGAAAGGAGAGGAAGGTGGGGGGATGGCTGTGCCCCAGCAGCTTCTGACCCCATCCCCTGTGCTCCTTCCACTCCCTACAGCTCATCGGCGTCTCAAGTACATATCCCTAGCTGTGCTGGTGGTCCAGAATGCCTCCCTCATCCTCAGCATCCGCTATGCCCGCACACTGCCTGGGGACCGCTTCTTTGCCACCACCGCTGTGGTCATGGCCGAAGTGCTCAAAGGTCTCACCTGTCTCCTGCTGCTCTTTGCACAGAAGAGGGGTATGATATGAGCCAGGGAAGGGGGTTTGTTGGTGGGATTCCCTAAATAAGTGTGTGAGAGTATGTGTGTGTGTATGTGTGTGTGTGTGTGTGTGTGTGAGAGAGAGAGAGAGAGAGAGAGAGCGAGAGCGCACACGCAAGCATGCACAGGGTGTTTGCTGGTGTTGGAAAACCTGCCTGGGGATTATGTAAGTGCATCTAAGCTTCCTTGCTACCACCCTGTGAACTGTAGTAGTGAGATAGTCTGTCCATAAGAGAAGAACACGCACATGGTGGTTGATTTACCTTTATATTATGGAAGCCATGTGTGGTGGCCCAAGCCTGTTATAACAGCACTTGGACGGTGGAGGCAGCATGATCAGGAGTTCCAGATCATTATGGAGTTTGAGGCCAGCCTGGCTGCATGAGACTCTGTCTCAAGCTGGGTATAGTGTCACATGGTTTTAATCATGGCACTTGTGTAGCAGAGGCAGGTGGATCTCTGTGAATTTGAGGCCAGCCAAGTCTACATAGCAAGTTCCAGGCCAGCCAGTGCTGTATAGTGAGACTGTATCTCAAAAATAAACAAAAACTTTGTAGAATGGAGAATTCCATTCCAAACACACACACAAAATACCCATGTACCCATTCCCCGGGTTCATTATTATCAATTCTTTACTACTCTGTCTTAAAGCAGCATCAATGGTTAGCCACTCACCAATAATTATATATCTGTTACATACCTGCCCTTTTATAATACCAGCTGGGTGTAGTGATATGTGTCTGTAATCCTAACTATTCAGGATGCTGAGGGCAGAGGATCATTTAACTTCAGGAGTTCTTGGGCAACATTTTAAGGCCCCATCTCAAAACAACAGCAGAAAAAAAAAATAAGTGGAAGTTTAATACCTAGGGTAGGGGATGTAGCTTAGAGTGCATGAAGCCCTGTGTTTGATACCCAGTGCCACATAAACCTGGTGTTTTGAATACCTATAATCTGAGGCAGGAAGATCAGAAGTTCAAGGTCATCCTTGGCTACCTAGTTCAGAGCTAGCCTGAACTATGTGAGACTCTCACACAAATAAAGCAAGTATAATAAAAGTCATATATCAAAAAATAATAAAGCTGGGTGTGGTGGTTCATATCTCATTTCAGCATGTGAGAGGCAGAAAGATCTTAAGTTCCAAGTCAGACTAGGGTGAAGCAAGACCCTGTCTCAAAACAACAGGGGGCTGGGGGGAGATGGCTCAGCAATTAAGAGCACTGGCTGCTCTTGCAGAGAACGCAGGATCAGTCCCCAGCACCCACATGGTGGTGAACAACTGTCAATAACTCTAGTTCCATGGGATGTGACGCCCTCTTCTGACCTCTGCAGGTACTGCACACCAGTGCACTTAAATACATGCAGGGAATACACATAAAATAAAAATAAAATTTTTAAAAGGGCCTGGAGAGATGGCTCAGTGGTTAAGGACACTGGCTGCTCTTGCAGAGGACCCGGGTTCGATTCCCAAGCACTCACATGATAGATAACACAGTCTGTAACTCCAGTTCCAAGAGATTTGAAGCCCTCTTCTGACTTTGTCAGGCATTGTACAACACAACTGCATATACACTCATACACATAAAATGAAAATAATAAAATACTGATTAAAAAGCAAACCTAGGCCTGATGGTGCAGGCCTATAAACCCAGCTGGTTGAGAGGCTGAAGCAGGAGCATCACAAATTCAAGACCAGCCTGATTAACTTTTTGAGACTCTGTCTCAAAATAAAAGTTATGAGGCCCAGCATAGTAGCTAAGAGGGTAAAAGCTCTTGACAGATAACCTGAGTTCAATCCTCAGAACCCTTGATGGAAGAAGAGAACTGACTCCTTCCTCCAAAATTGTTCTCTGATCTCTACATGTGCATCAGGGTACTTACCCCCCCGTCTCTCTCTCTCTCTCTCTCTCTCTCTCTCTCTCTCTCTCTCTCTCTCTCTCTCTCTCGGTACTTACATCTCCCTCTCTCTCTCTCTCACACACACACACACAATTAAAAATAAAGGATAGGTAATATAGCTTAGCTGTAGAGCACTTGCTTAGCCTACTTGAGGCCCTAGGTTCAATCCCCAGTACCATACACATAATAACAATAGGTTCTGTTAGATGGCTCAGTGGGTAAATGCTTACAGTGCAAGAATGAGTACCTAGTTTGAGCCCCCAGAACTCCGGAAAAAAGCCAGGCACTGTGGCACAGGTCTGTTTTTAACTGCAGTACTGAGTGTGTGTTGGGTTGTTGTAGGCAGGTAGATACTAGGGGCTCACTGCCAGCCAGTTTAGCTGAAACATTTTGTGCTGTCTCAAAAAATAAGGTGGAGAGTGATAGACGAAGACACCTAACATCAGCCTCTAACTTCTAATCGCTACATGTACATAAAAAGGCAAGCACACCCACCCACATATGCCCATACACATAAAAATAATTCAAGAAATTAAATATTCCATCAGTACTCAAATTCATAATGATTTTTTAAGTGTCATAACATTTTTTTAATGTGTATGTGTGTATTGCCTGCATGTAGGTAAGTGCACCCATGCCGTGCAATGCCCGCAGAGGACAGAAGAGGCTGTCAGATCCCCTGGAACTGGAGTTACGGACAGTTGTTAGCTGCCATGTGGGTGCTGGGATTCGAACCCGGGTCTTCTGCAAGAACAACCAGTGTTCTTAACCACTGAACCATCTTTCCAGCCCAAGTGTCATAACATTTTAAAATGTGTTTGTGTATGATCATCATTTTTTAATTGGTTATTTTTTTAAGTTTGGTCATTTATTTGTTACTCTTGCAAATTCTTATTTTGGCTGGGCATGGTGGCACATGCCTTTAGTCCCAGCACTCGGGGAGGCAGAGGCAGGCGGATCTCTGTGAGTTCAAGGCCAGCCTGGTCTACATAGTGAGTTCCAGGACAGCTGGGGCTACAGGGAGACCCTGTCTCAAAAATATCAAAAAAAAATTTCTTATTTTGGGGGCTGGAGAGATGGCTCAGTGGATAAGAGCACTGATTGCACTTGCAGAAGACCCAGGTTCAATTCCCAGCACCCACATGATGGATAACAGTCATCAATAACTTCAGTTTCAGGGCGCCCAACACCCTTGTCTGACCTCCGAGGGAATTGCACAACACCAGTGCACTTACATACATGCAGGCAATATACGCATACTCATAAAATAAAAATAACATTTTTTAATTATTATTTTTTACTAGACTTGGAAGAAGCTCTCAGCAAGGATAGCCTATGTCATTTGGCAATCTGTTCCTGGCATTTTTCTTTGGTTTCCTTCACTCTCTTGGCCAAAAGTTTAGCATATTCTGCAGCCTCCTATTTTTCTTTGCATGTTTTTAGAGCAGCACTTTGGCATTTGTGCTGAAGGACATGTGGCGTAACAAGACACTGAATCTTGGGTGCTTTAGTCCTGGGCTTCTTACCTTCTTTGTTCAAGGGCTTTCTGACAACATATTGACAGATATCATCATCATCTTTAGAGAGACTGAAAAGCTTGCGGATTCTGCTAGCTCTTTTGGGCCCCAACCACCAAGGTACAGCAGTATCTGTTAGCTCAGGATATCCTCTCCTTTTTTTTTTTTTTTTTTTTTACAATAACCAAGTTGAGAACACTCAGATTGGCATCCACTGTGCATCTTTGAACAGACTTGAATTTTTCTCCCCTTGGTCTACAACAAGAATACCATTTACTGGACAGCAGGTGCACCATGTCATGGATCAAAACACCCTACTTTGTGGGAAAGCCTTATTTCTCATTTCCACCACATTCAGACCACATAACCCAGAGCATCAGCAATTGCTTCTGTGGCCATGAGCTTCTCGAAGACAGTAGGGAGTTTGTATTCATTGTCCACTTCAATGAATTTCTGAAGGAGATACTCAACTTCATCTAGTTCAAAGTCAGCCTGGTCTACATAGTGAGTTCCAGGCCAGCTGGGGCTACAGGGACACCCTATCTCAAAAAGACCAAAAAAAATTTGTTAGTGTTTTCTAAGTATTTTAATCTTCAGGCCCCCTCCAACTGTTCTACTTATCTTTCTGTAGTACATTTGCTGATGAAGTGAGCTCATTTGTCTTGCAGACTTGGGTAGTCTGGATTCTGCCAACTGAATGCCTATGGTATCATTTAGTATGCTCTTCTGTCTTACATGATTTTTCTAGATTGGGCATTGGGTTTATCCACTGATTTAAATATTTCCCTGTGGCCTTCTCCTTTGAGATATGCCCAGTTGTTTCTTTCTCAAGGCTTTGAATATGTCAAAGATGGGGACGAATTGTGCCACTCTGCACAGCATGTTTCCACTGAAGAAGACATTCTTTTTTTTTTTGGTCTTTTTGAGACAGGGTCTCCCTGTAGCCCCAGCTGTCCTGGAGCTCACTATGTAGACCAGGCTGGCCTCGAACTCACAGAGCTCCGCCTGCCTCTTCCTCCCAAGTGCTGGGATTAAAGGCATGCGCTACCATGTCTGGCTAACATTCTTAATCACGTGGAGCCTGGAAGGCATTAGAGCTAATGCTTGAGATGAGCAATCACGGGTAGCTATAGCTCTTATCCACATTTTTTTGTTTTCCTTTTCTATTATATTTTATGGGGACAGGTATGGTGCACACATGCCACTATGTGCATGTGGAGGTCAGAGACAACTTGTGGGAATCATTTGTCTCATGTGTATCCTTGGGCTCAAACTCAGGTCATTTGACTTGGTGGCAAGCATCTTTACCCCCACTGAACCATCTTGGCTAACTGTTTTTTTATTTTTTTGAGATAGAGTCTCAGGTAGACCAGGCTGATGTATAACACTATAGCTGAAGTTGATCTTGAACTCCTGATCCTCTGGCCTTCTCCCAAGTTTTAGGATTACAGGCATACATCACCATGGTGGTCCACAATTTCAATTTACTTGTGTGACCGCCTTCCCTCTTCCTTCCCTTTTTTCCTCCTCCTCCCCACTTTTTTGAGACAAGGTCTCACTGTGCTACCCAGACTCTGGTTAAATTCAAAATATTGGACTAAAGTAATTCTCTCAGCGTCTGGAGTGGCTGGGACTCCAGATACAGGTACATTATTGTGCCCTACTCAGTTTGTTTATCCTTGAATTAAATTGGTGTCATCCTAGCTTTCAGGCCCTCAATGTTGAACACTTGCCAAGCATTCACTAAGGCCTTAGGTTCCATGCCCATCACACTGAGAGAGAGAGGAGAGGGTGAGGAGGGAGAGGGATAGAGAGGAAAGAAATCCCAGCACTTGGGAAGCGGAGGCAGGCAGATTTCTGTGAGTTCAAGGTCAGTCTGGTCTACATAGCAAGTTCCAGGACAGTTGGAGCTATATAGTGAGGACCCTGTCTCAAAAAAAAAAAAACTTATCAGGAAGGCTTCTTATTGACTTGGGGGGCTAGTGGAGGAATGCTAAGTGGTATAGCACATTGCCTGAGCATGTGCAAGGCTCTGGGTCCATTCTCAGCACTGCAAAAATAAAAATAAAACCTGAGCAAATCTCCCAGGAAGTCAGAGGAGGTGGGGGGGGGGCAGGACTGTAAGGTGGACACAGGTGCTGGACCTGGTGCCAACCTTCAGCAGATCCCTTCCTCGCACATAGGTAATGTGAAGCACCTGGTTCTCTTTCTCCACGAGGCTGTCCTGGTGCAGTATGTGGACACACTCAAGCTAGCAGTACCCTCTCTCATCTACACCTTGCAGAATAACCTCCAGTATGTCGCCATCTCCAATCTTCCAGCTGCCACATTCCAGGTGAGCCCCCAGCCCAGCCTAGCTGAGTTTGTCGGGGTGGGGGATATAGGGGATGGAGGGAGGTGCTCTGAAAAAAGCAGGGACTGTCACTTAAAGAATATTCTTAGGCTGGGTGTGGTGGCGCATGCCTTTAATCCCAGCACCCGCCTTTTACCTCAGCATGACTCTGCAGACACACATGGGCATGTACCTACACAGACACAGACTGCTACACATAAATAAATAAAAATAGCCGGGCATGGTGGCACACACCTTTAATCCCAGCACTCAGGAGGCAGAGGCAGGCAGATCTATGAGTTCCAGGCCAGCCTGGTCTACATAGTGAGTTCCAAGCCAGCTGGGGCTACAGGGAGACCCTGTCTCAAAAAAGCCCCCCCCCCCCCAAAGAGTGTTCTTGGAAGCTCTCACCTTGGTTTCCTCATGCAATGGGGAATAGAGGAGATGCTGGGATGACTGAAGAAGTACTTGGGGCCAGGCATGATAGCATATGCCTGCAATTCTAGAACTCAGGAGCCTGAAGCAAGAGAATTTTGAGCTCCAGACCAAAGTGGACTACATAAACAAACCGTATTTCAAAAAAAAGAAAGGAAAAAAAAAACACACCAGGAAATAGCCTTTGAGTGCTCATTGATGTCTTGGGCATTTGTGGATAGTCTTGTTTTCACAAGATTGATTAAAAAGTATAGATGCCCCGGCACTCGAGAGGCAGAGGCAGACAGATCTCTGTAAGTTCCAGGCCAGATGGGGCTGTAGGGACACCCTGTCTCAAAAAGACCAAAAAGAAAAAAAAAGTATAGATGCCGTGACAAGGCTGCCTGGGTTCAAATCTCAGTGCTGCTGCTTTCTAGCTGTGTGATTTGGGTGGGGGGGGGTGTCAGTCACTTAGTCTTTCTGTGCCTTTGCCTGCTCATTTTAATTTTTTGTTTTCTTTGAGACAGTCTCATTTAGCCCAGGCTGGCCTTGAACTTGCTATGGGATGATCACCTGACCCTCCTTGCCTCCACCTCTCAAGTGTTGGGATTATAGCTGTGTGCCACCATGCTCTGTTTTGTTTCTTTTCTTTCTTTGCTCTTTTTTAAAAAATATATTTTATCATTCTTATTTTATGTGTATGAGTGTATTGCCTGCATGTATGTGAGTGCACCTGTGTCGTGCAATGCCTTGGAGGTCAGAAGAGGACTTCAGATTCCCCTGGAACTGGAGTTAAGGATGATTTGTAGCTGCCATGTGGGTGCTGGGATCGAACCCAGGTCCTCTGCAAGAGCAGTCAGTGCTCTTAACCACTGAGCCATCTCTCCAGCCCCTTTTTTTGGTCTTTTTAAGACAGGGTCTTTCTGTAGCCCCAGCTGGCCTGGAATTCACTATGTAGTACTGGGATTAAAGAAGTGTGCCACCATACCTGGCTTTTGTTTCACTTTTGAGATGAAGTCTTGCTATATGAGCTTGGCTGGCCTTGAACTCATGGTTCTTCTTCCTCAGACTCCTAAGTGTTGGGATTTCAGTCATGTCCCACCAGGCTAGTCATGCTTGCTCATCTTTTAAATTTGAAATTACAGTGGTGTCCATTTCCCGCAGTAGTTGTAAAGATTAAATGAAGTAATTTCCATATAGTCCACAGACTCATGCTGAACACAGAAATATGTAAATATTTTCTGGCTTTCCTATTGTGGTTAATTCATTTGTATGAAGACTTCCCTCATCACAATGCTTTCCACTTATTCATCATCTGCTTAGCCTTATTTTATAGAGATGAGATAGGACAGGTACTTTGTCTCTGTCACATACCTAGGAAAATGGGATTGAGTTGTAGATTTTGGTGTGGCTTGGGACTTCTTGGCGCAGGTACCTTTTTTAAAAAATATATATTTTGTTAGCCAGGTGTGGTGGCACGGGCACGCTTTTGAGCCAGCACTCGGGAGGCAGAGTTGGGTGCATCTCTGTGAGTTTGAGGCCAATCTGGTCTAGATAGTTCCAGGCCAATCTGGTCTAGCCAGTTCCAGGCCATCTGGGTCCACAGGGAGACCCTGTCTCAAAAAGACAAAAAAATTTTTATTGAGCTTTTGTACATTAAAAAAAAATTTTTTTAATTATTTTTATTTTATGTTTATGAGTGTTATGCCTGCATGTAGGTAAGTGGACCATTGACATGCAATGCCCACGGAGGTCAGAAGAGGATCCCCTGAGACTGGAGTTAAAGACAGTTGTCAGCTGCCATGTGGGTGCTGGGATATGAACCCGGGTCTTCTGCAAGAACCACCAGTGTTTTTAACTGCTGAGCCATCTCTCCAGCCCCGAGCTTTTGTACATTTCATGCAATAGTTCTTAATCAGATTTAGACCCCCTCCCCCATCCATGCTCCCACACCTCTCCAAACTGTTTTCTTGAGACAGTTTCTGGCCAAGACTGTCTTCCAAGTCTGTGTAGCCAAGGATGACTTTGAATTTCTGATCCTTCTGCCTCTACTTCTTGAGTGCTAGGATTACAGATGTAATCTGTAAACATCTGGTTTAAGTAGTCCTGGGGATTGAACCCAGGTCCTTGTGTTAGTCAAGTACTCTCACGACTGAGCTTATATCCCTAGCTCTCTGGGATGGGTTTTGAGAACTATTTAGCCACAATTTAATCAATGGCCAATGGCTGGCTCTTTTTGCTAATTTTTTTTTTCTTTTTGGTCTTTGTTTTTTTGAGGTAGGGTCTCCCTGTAGCCCCACCTGTCCTGGAACTCACTATGAAGACCAGGCTGGCCTTGAACTCACAGAGATCTGCCTGCCTCTGCCTCTCAAATGCTGGGATTAAAGGCGGGTGCCACCACGCCTGGCCCTCTTTTTGCTAATTTTGTTGTCATGTAATTTTGTTATCCTCCACATCTGGAGGCACACAGTGGGTGCTATCCACCACTTTCACTTTCTGGGAGTTGGGCCCAGCCTTTAATGCCTTCCACATGCAACTTCCAGGTGACGTATCAGCTGAAGATCCTGACCACCGCATTGTTCTCTGTGCTCATGCTGAACCGCAGCCTCTCACGCCTACAGTGGGTCTCCCTGCTGCTCCTCTTCACTGGTGTTGCCATTGTCCAGGCACAGCAAGCTGGTGGGGGAGGCCCACGGCCATTGGATCAGAACCCTGGGGCAGGCCTAGCAGCTGTTGTGGCCTCTTGTCTCTCCTCAGGCTTCGCAGGTGTCTACTTTGAGAAGATCCTCAAAGGTAGCTCAGGTTCTGTGTGGCTACGTAACCTACAACTCGGCCTCTTTGGTACAGCACTGGGCCTGGTGGGGCTCTGGTGGGCGGAGGGCACTGCTGTAGCCCGCCGTGGCTTCTTCTTTGGGTATACACCTGCTGTCTGGGGTGTGGTACTAAACCAGGCCTTTGGTGGGTTGCTAGTGGCCGTTGTTGTCAAGTATGCTGACAACATCCTCAAGGGCTTTGCCACTTCCCTGTCCATTGTGCTGTCCACTGTTGCCTCCATTCGCCTCTTTGGCTTCCACCTGGACCCGTTATTTGCCCTTGGTGCTGGGCTCGTCATTGGTGCCGTCTACCTCTACAGCCTTCCCCGAGGTGCAATCAAAGCCATAGCTTCACCTTCCACCTCTGCTTCTGGGCCCTGCATTCACCAACAGCCTCCTGGGCAGCCACCACCACCACCACAGCTGTCTTCCCGAGGGGACCACATCACGGAGCCCTTTCTGCCAAAGTCAGTGCTGGTGAAGTGAGCTGTTGATGGTGGGGGGAGACAGGGAAGGGGACTGGGTTGGAGGGTGTTGGGCATCTGCAGGTCCCACGTTGCCTGCAGGGCCTGGCTCCTCTGGGATTGGGTTTTTTCTCCCAGATTTCTGGAGGGGTATGGAACTAGGGCTGAATATCACATGAACCCTTTCTGGTAGACTCTTTCTTGGAGGGTTTTAGAGCTGCTTCCTTTTCTTCAGGCTAACCTCTTTGGGGACAGGGTAGGGGTATTGCTGTTCAAAGCCTTTGTCTGCCCACCTCCCTCTGCTGGAGGTGTCCTGTCTCTCATGCCTTGACAGTTCATTCCAGCCACCCTGCAGACTGAACAAAAACCCCATAGCTCTTCAGTAATGACTAATGCCTACCTGGGGGGGTTCCATTTCCCATTGTATGAGGCCTTCTCTCCTCCTATGCCACCACCCTACATCATGTAAGCAGCTTGGTTTCTGATGTGGTCTTGGAGTAGTTTCTCTGGCACCAAGACCCTTAAGATCTACCTGCTGCAAGTGCCCAGGGTGAGGAGAGAGGCACTAGCTCAGAGTTTTGCAACAGCCCATTCTTGAGGAAGGTGCACTAGGGGCCACTTGCTTTTCAGTAGTTGGCGACATGTGGTATAATCAGGTCATTAATGATCCAGTGTTGGGAAAAGTGGAGAGGAGAGGTGACTGGAGTAAAAATAAAGCTGCCAGTCCCACTCTTGCCACTCTTACTTCATAGGGGATATCAGAATTGATGAATCATGAAACCTGCTCCCTGCACTCCCCAAGGCTTATTAACCCTTTAACTGTATCGTGTGTGTGTGTGTGTGTGTGTGTGTGTGTGTGTGTGTGTGTGTCTCGCGCCGAGTGTGTGTGTGTGTGTGTGTGTGTGTGTGTGTGTGTGTGTGTCTCGCACCTGGGAGGTGCCTGAGCTATCTTTGCTATATGTAAATAGGGCCGTTTGATCTTTATTTTTGATTAATTTGTTCTGATTTGTTTGGTTTGTTTTCTAAGGAACTGTAATGAACAACTGTCAGGACACCCAATGCCAAATAAAGATGTTGTATTTATTTAGTCCACGTGTAGCTTTCTGACTCAGGACCTGCTTTCTCCACATAAGCACTGTTACTAACCCCAGGACTACTAGGCTTACTACCAACACCCTGGCTTACTCAAGAAACCCACATGCCAGCCCACCCCAGCTTTCTGTGTTTCTCTTTCCTCCCCATTTCCACCACAGGTTGCTCACCAAGGTGAAGGGTTCGTAGCTGCCGGAGTTGAAGATGCTGGCCTGCCTTCGTTCTCCCTTCTAGTCCTGGCCCAGCCGGGACTAAACTCTTATCAGTATTAGGGGGAGGGGGAGGTAGGCATGGGAACTCCCTGTCCCCACCAACCCTGCCCCCACACAGGGCTAACATGACTAAGCTCTGTTAATAGGTCCACCTCAACTCCTGCTACCCCCCCGCAGTATTTCTTAGGTGAGTTTCTGCAAATAAAATGTGTTTTGTATCTTGTCAGCTTGGGTTGGAAAGCCTGGAAAGAATCAGGAAAGGAAGCACTCATGCCACAGAAAAGCTTTATTAAGAATAAGGGGGCTGGGAGTGTAGCTTACTGATAGAACACTTGTTTAGCATATGTGAGGCCCTGGGTTCTATCTCCAGTCCCACAAGGAAAAAAGAAAGAAAACTGCCAGAACTGCAGAGAACAAAGGTTCAGTCCTGTTGCTTGCTTCGGGAGGCCTCGGCATTGGCCCGGAGCACAGCCCCTGGGGATGGGTACGGACGCTGCTGGAAGAGGGGTCCAGCTGCTGTTGTGTCAGCACCTGTCTTGGCCTCATTCCTCTTGGGTAGTCCTGTTGACCATGTGCCCCTGGGGGGAATAGAGGGTTAGAGGACAGGAAGTGGGTATAATGGATACCCCCTAGCTGGCCAAGAGTGAGGAATGGAAAGAAGACAGAAGGGTGCTGTTCACAGGAATAGTGAGAATTGTGAAACAAAAGGACTGATGAAGGAAGGGTTCTCACTTACCGGGGTGCATCTGAATATGAGCTCGGGTCCATGGGGTCTAACTCTTCATCTTTTCGGCTCACTGCTATGGAAGTAAGTAGCAGGACAAGTTCTTCACTTGGGGCCCAAGGAGCCCCTGGTTAGTGAGCCTTTCATCCCAGGAAGAAAAGGTGCCAGTGGCTACCATTGGCCCACAGCACCCTTCTCCAGAAGGCCAGAGCCGGGCACGTACTCAAGAGCGGGCTTCCTTAAGAGTCTATGCCCTAGCATCTCACTTGCCCCATCCATGTCCCAGCCTGTTTTGCTTACCTTTCTTGCTCTTGGGGTAAGGAGCCAGCTCCTCCCTGCGATGATGGCGCCGTTGCTCTTTGCTCTCTTCTCGGTCTGCCTTGTCATACCCACGATCCCGATCTCGTTCCCTGTCCCTCTCTCTCTCCCTCTCCATTTTGTCATAGCTCCGCTCTCGATCTCTGTCAGACTTATCATGGTTTCGGTCTGACTTGTCATGGCTCCTGTCTGGTTTTTCATGGCCACGGTCTGACTTCTCATGATTTCTGTCCAACTTCTCATGATTCCGGTCCAACTTCTCCTCAGCATCTAGGGGGACACAGAAGTCCTGAAGTGACTTCCTCCTCCTACCTAGGACCCAGCAGCCCCTGCCTTCAACAACTTCACCAACCTACTAAGCTAGGCCTGCCAACTCCCACCTGCCCGTTCTCACACACAGACCCCCTCTGAGACTGCAAGAATCACTCTAGATACTCTTGTATTTGACAACTCACCTGCGTTATTGTTCCTGAGCTTCTTGGCAGATTTAGTAACGACGAAGTTTGGGTCATGTGGAGAGAGCCAGGACACAAGGTCTGTCTCTGCATTCCAGTAGTAAGGGAGCCCGCTGTGGGGCATGGGAGAGAAGCAGTGTCAGCACAGATGCCCCTTATGCCAACTCCTTGTCTCCCCAACCTATACCTATACCTGCACACAGATCTCTTTCCCTGTTATTTCCTATATACTCCACAGTCAGGGACAACACAGGAAAGGCAAAGAATCCAGCTGCCCCTCTCCCTTCATGCCTGACAGCCTCACCAGGAAGGGTCGAACACCTTGTACCAGCTGGGTGGTAGGCCCTCTAACCGGGTGGCCTCATAGTCTACAGGATCATCATCATAGTCCTCGGCAATAATCTCTTCCTCTGGCTCTGGAAGAATGAGGAGAGCAATTTAAGAACCAAGGAAGTTTTCTAACTACATTCAGGACCTAGAAAGACAAATCTATAGCACATGTGGAAGACATGGGTGTGTATGTTTTGGGACAGGAAATGTATGACGTATTTCTCCAAATATACTCCAAATCCATCTGTTTTAGAGAACTTATCAGAAAACTGAACTGAATCTTTGGTTTCTGGGTTCAGGTGAATGTATAGTGTTATTCAAGCCTATCTGGTTTCAGAGTTGATTATCAAAACTCAGAATTATCAAAAACTTAGCTGGGTGCAGTGGTGCTTGCCTTTAATCCCAGCACTTGGGAGGCAGAGGCAAGGGTATCTATGTGAGTGCAGGAGGCCTGCCTGATCTACATAGCAGTTCCAGGCCAGCTGGGGCTACAGGGCAACAGTGTCTCAAAAAGACAAAAAAAGTCTATCTACATGTATTCAGTTCCTGAGTTCAGATACTATGTGGCACTGTGTTATCCAAACCTATTTCAATGAAATGGGTTTGAACACCAGGGGGTTATCCGAAAATAATGACTTATGACTTATCCACCTTCTCAACTGTGATTCCAGGGTTTCTGTATATTGAATAGCAAGAGTTTGGATAGCAAGGAATTAATCCAAACATTACTCTGAATCTGCTCCTGAGACCTGACATAAGTAAGCCTCCAGCAGATGTCCAGTAATAGAATAAAAATGGTGTCTATCGGAGCTGAAGAGACGGCTCAGTGGTTAAGAACACTGGTTGTTCTTGCAGAAGACCCGGGTTTGAATCCCAGCACCCACATGGCAGCTAGCAACTGTCCGTAACTCCAGTCCCAGGGGATTCTATAGCCTCTTCTGATCTCCTCGGGCATTGCACAACACAGGTTCACTTACCTACCTGCAGGCAATACACACATACACATAAATTTTTTTTGTCTTTTTGAGACAGGGTCTCCCTGTATAGCCCCAGCTGTCCTGGAACTCACTATGTAGACCAGGCTAGCCTCCTGCACTTACATAGATCCACTTGCCTCTGGCCTTGAACTCGCAGAGATCCGCCTGCCTCTGCCTCCCAAGTGCTGGGACTACAGGCATGCGCCACCACGCCCGGCCTCATAAATAAAAATTTTTAAAATGTGTCTATCATCAGCCTAATGCCTGGCCCTCAATAGGCCCCATAACAGATTTCAGCTGTGGGTATAATTTACAACGACATGAATATGCCAGCTGGGCATGGTGGTGCACACCTTTGATCCCAGCACTTGAGAGGCAGAGGCAGAGGCGGGTGGAGCTCTGTGAGTTCAAGGCCAGCCTGGTCTACAGTGTGAGGCCAGGGGCTACAGGGAGACCCTGTCTCAAAAAGGCAAAAAAAATGTATATGCCAACAACAGCACAGTGCCTATCACATTATAGGCCCCAAAGAGGTGTCAGGTATGATAATCCATATTGCTAATAAGATACATACCATCAGCAGTGAGCCCAGTACTCAGAAGGCTTAAAAGAAATATCCATGATATGGGGTTTGCTTGAACCCTGGATTCAAATCCCAGCACCACCAAAAACACTCCAAAACAAAACCAATACTCATTATTCACACATTAACCACAAAGTCTCATTGGGGCACACAGTAGTCTTGTAATAGAGCTCAGTTATCAATAAATGTGAATGGTATACCATAGGTCAAAACAGATGCCAGTTATTATTATTATTGGCAATAATGTGTAATTAGCAGCCAGCAATAAGGTAAGCCTAAATGATTGATCATCATTTCAGACTGTTAAGCATTAACATATGTGCCAGGCATTTAGGAGGCCCCAAAATGTGTTAACAGGTTATTGTGTCTACCACATAGTACCTTTGCTATGCTAAACAGAACATCAATACCTTGCTACTAGGCACAGGAGACTGCAGCTGTCATTCCAATTAAATACTATAAAGTCACCCCTATGGATTTAATTATTTTTTGGTGGCACTTGCAGTGATCCTTCTGCCTGTCTCCCCAGTGCTGGGATTACAGCCATGTACCACCGTGTCTAGCTTTACTTTATTTCATCTTTATGAGACAGGGTTTTCCTGTAGCCCCAGTTAATCTGGAACTCCTTATCTGAACCAGGCTGGCCTCAATCTCACAGAAATCTGCTTGCCTCTGCCTCCTGAGTGCTGGGATTAAAGCTGTGTGCCACCACACCCGGCTCTTTTTAACTTTTTTTTTTAAAGACCAGGTCTCACTATGTGGCCAATGTCTAGCCTTAATCTACTGGGCTCAAACACTGAGTCGCTGAGACTACTGGTACATGCCATTATGCCCACCTTGATTCATGAAGTATATCCTCCAACCACTCCCCACAGATAGTATTTACTATGCAGTAGTAATGGTTATCAGGCAATCATATCGACAGTGAGATGTCTGCCAGGCCATGCAAGGCATCAATTAGCAACAACCAAGTGCCTGTCAAGGGGCAGGAGATGTAGCTCCATAATATCAAAGCACACCCAAAACCCCAGGTTTGATCGCCAGCACCACAAAAAAGAGAAAAAAGGCCGGGACGTGGTGGCGCACGCCTGTAGTCCCAGCACTCGGGAGGCAGAGGCAGGCGGATCTCTGGGAGTTCAAGGCCAGCCTGGTGTACCTAGCGAGTTCCATGCCCTCTGGGGCTACAGGGAGACCCTGTTTCAAAAAGACCTAAAAGGAAAAAAAAAAGGCTGGGGATATAGCTCAGCAGTAGAGTGCTTGCCTAGCAAGCACTGAGGCTCTGGGTTTGCTACCCAGCGGAGAGAAAATATAATAAAGTGCTTATTAAGACCCACCCATCTGCTCTTAGCTTTCTCACCAGGCTCCAGATGTTTGAGGATGCCTCTCTTCGCTAAGCGGGTCTGCAGTGCAACAGGGAGGGGCATGGTGGGTAGTAGACAGACCTAGGGATCGACAGACAAGAAAGCTTCAAAGAACATTTCAATCCAGTAGCCATGCACCACCCCACAGCTTTTACTCATTTGACCTCACCTACCTAAATGCACCAGTAGCTGGGTGGACAGAGCGAAAGTGCGTGCTAAAAGATGGAAGAGATAGGTGCTAGTATGGCCAGAACTCTCCCGACGCCGCACCGGAGACCGGATGCTCCAAAGACCCAGTTCCTCTCGGAGGCCTTGACTCCGCCCATCACCCAAGGAGCCAAGCACAGCACCCAACAATCCAGAAAAGGGCTGACCCAACCTTCCCGAAAGGCTGCACGGTGGGAGGAACCAAAGCGCTGGCCTAGGGGAGCAGAAATGCCCCTCCAGCTTTAGAAGAAAGCTCCCACCGGGGTGTTAGCAGTATAGCTGTAGGGTAGTGCAAGTCAATCAGAGTGCCAACTTCTCCCTCGTCGTCACTATGCTTACCAATATCGAAAGACTCTTTGAAAGCACAAAGTGAAGCCCGCTCTCCCCAGCTGCAGTTAACTGGTCAACTTCGAGGCTGCAGTGAGCGGAGGTCGCTAGCCTCGCTAGCCAATAAGAGTGCGCCTTTGGCCTTACGTGAGCAAAGAGAACCAATTGTTTCCTTAGACTAGGTTGGCCGTCTCCGCGCCCCTGTGCGTTTCGGAGGGGAGTGGCCCTGCCAGTCTCAGGGACCGACTTCCCCACCGGAGGCCAGCGCCATGGAGGAGTACGCTCGCGAGCCTTGGTACGACGAAGGGCTCAGGCTTTGGGACTGTCCCCGCGACGCCACACGGGAGGCGGGCTGGGGAGTCAACGGCTGCCCAACACCAAGTCCCTGACACAGGAGGCTTAGAAACTTCACTCCCTGCGCTCTCCCCTCTCCCTTCTCGGCTCCTCCCAATGGAATTTCGTTTTAAAAGCCGTTAACTATCGTGTCGGAGTAGGTATGGTGTGGGACGAGCCATCCCATGGCTCCCGTGACGACGTGTCTCCTAGCCTTTCTTTGAACGAAAAGAGACACCTGATCAAATCCATTCCGGCGGTGGGGGAGGAGAGAGTGGAGCCCAAATTCTTGGGGTTCTCTCGCGTGAGTTTTCCAGGCTGGTTTTGTTTTGTTTTGTTTTCCTCTGGATGGTACTTGTATGAACCCATTGTGGGCTAAGGAGAGGCGCTGGATCTGCCTCACATGGTCTCCTGGTTTTTCTGTTTTACGTCTAAAAGGGAAAAAAAATGGATAGGGCTTTCTTGGTCGTACTTTTTTTGTCAGAGAACGAAACCCTGTTCTGCTTTGGTTAAATAATACTAGCTAGGTAACACTTCTGTAGCCCTCGTTGAAATGTGCTAATGGATCAGTTCATTTAATTTTTCTTAGGATCAAAACAGTTGACTGACTCCTTAAAAAATCAAGAGTAATATTTGTGTTAGTAATAAACCTACCGTTTGGAAGGCTGAGACGCAGGGGATCTCGAATTTGAGGCCAACCTGAACTGTGTAGTGAGACAACCCTCATCCATTTCAAAAAACAAGAAGAAAAGTATTTTCCTCTTTTGCCCCATGTATCAATTTACAATCTTTTTTTTTTTTAGGGTCTCAATATATATGCCGGCTTGGCCTCCAACTAATGATCCTCCTGCCTTAGCCTCTGGAGTACTGGGATTACAGATATGCCATAGCTGCATTTGCCTTTCATTTCTGCCCTTATGAGGAGTATCAAAAATGATAGGACTATGCACTCGGGACACAGAGGCAGGCAAATGTCTGCGAGATTGAGGCTAGCTGCTCTACATAGTGAGTCCAGGCCAGCTGGAGACAGAGAGACTTTGTCTCAACAAAACAAAAATGACAGGACTAGTTTGTTATCTGAGGTGTTCTCATTCATGAGCTTCCTGTTTGGTTTCTCCCAGTTCTCAAGACTTCGGGAGTTAGGGCCTGGTATGATGGGGACTCTCATTAAACCCATTTTTCCTTCCTGCTTACAGCCCTTGGCGAATTGTGGATGACTGCGGTGGAGCCTTCACTATGGGTGTCATTGGTGGTGGAGTCTTCCAGGCTATCAAGGGCTTCCGCAATGCACCTGTTGTGAGTTGGACCTTCCCAACTTCCCCTGGTGGTGAGGGAATCAGCTGCCTTACCACAGAGAACACTGCTCTGAAAACTGCCCATGAACGAACACACACATACACACTCACTCATTCTATTGCTTCTTCATCTACTGTGTGCCAGGCCTGGCTCCTGGATTTGAGTTTTGGGGACTCTGTTCTCTACTCATCCAGCTGGAGCTCCTTTGTGGTAATACTGTACTGTCAAAACAGTAAAACAGATTTAGGAGCTGGGCCATGGTGGTGCACACCTTTCACCCCAGCACTCAGGAGGCAGGCAGATCTCTGACTTGGAGGCTAGCCTGGTCTACGTAGGGAGTATGTAGGCCAACTGGGGCTACAGGGAGACCCTGGCTCAGAACAACAAAAAAAGAGTCTTGGGGATTAGGAGTGTAGCTCAGTTGTAGAGCAGTTGATTAGCATGGGACATCCTCAGCACCAATAAGAAAAGATTATCATTAAATCTTAAATATGGATGCAAAGCTAGATTTTTATCTCAAGACAGACTCTAGATTAAAATATTCTATATAGGGAACTGACAGGAATTTAATAAGAACAGCTAGGGCTGAAGAGATGGTTCAGTGGTTAAAAGCACTGGCTGCTCTCGCAGAGGACCAGGATTCACTTCTCAGCACCAATATGGCAGCTAACAATTGTAACTCCAGTTTCAGGGAATCTGACACCTTCTTCTGACCTTCACAGGCACTGCACAACACAGGTGCGCTTTACATACATGCAAGCAATACACTCATACACATAAAATAAAAATATTTCTTTTTAAAAAGAGCAGTCTTTAAAAAAAACCTTTTAATTATAATTCTACTTCTTTTGAGTCATCCTTGAGTATTTCATCAAACATCATGGCTTTAAAAGCAGTTTGGGGGTTGGAGATAAGGCTCCATGGATAAGAGCACATGCTCTGCAAGTATGGGGATCTGAGTTCAATTCCATAGCACCCATGTAAAAAGCTAGGCATGGCTATATGTGCCTGTAACTGCAAGATAGGCATATCCTGAGAGCTCAGTGGTGAGCTAGCCTAACTGGAATTTGAGCTTCTGGTTCATTGAGAGTCCCCGGGTCAAGGCAATAAGGTGGAAAGCAATAAAGGAAGACCCCTGATGTCTTGCTCTGCCCTCCCGGTATTCATATACCTGCACACTCACATGTATATACCACACACACAAAAAAAAAACAAGTTTTTTTATGTAGTCCAGGCTGGCCCAGAACTTGAATCCTTCTGCCTCAGCTTCCCAAATGGCTGGGATTACAGGAATCTGCCAATATGTCTGGCTTCTGAAGCTTTTATGTCTAACTCTGTGTCTGTCCTCCTTTCCTAAACTCTTTCCTGGATTTTTGTCCATGTTTCTCATTCTTGGGGTCTTCACACATATTACACCCTCCTTTTTTTTTTCTTTTGGTATGGTAAAGGGAACCAGGTATCTCCATCCTGCATACTTTGCGTGTACTTTACCACTGAGCTACATCCTCAGCCCCTTTAACATGCTCATTCTCTAATGAAGCTTTTCCTGACTCTTCAGTCACTATCATATTTCATTATCCTATTTCCTCTAGAGTATCTTGCTGTCTGATGTATCTGCTTAGGATATGTCTCTGAACTACTACTGTGTGAGCTGAGAAGGTAGAGACCAGATCTGCCTTGTTCATTGGTTCATTGCTATACCCGTGCATATAGGGTGAGGCTTGGCACATATTAGGTGCTCATTGTTTACTGAATGAATGAGTGACTAAATCAATAAATTAGAACTTAATGGGGCTGGATGGCTCAGTGGTTAAGATCGCTGGCTGCTCTTGAAGAAGATCTAGGTTCAATTCCCAACACCCACACAGTGGCTCAACAACTGTCTGTTAACTCCTGTTCCAGGAGATCTAGTGCCCTTTTCTGGCTTCTAGGGCCACATCCATACATGCAGGCACAACATTCATACACACAAAAATTTTTTTTTCAAAAGAATTTAGCATTTCTGGCTGTAGTGGTGCTCGCCTTTAATCCCAGCACTCAGGAAGCAGAGGCAGGCAGATCTCTTGAGTTCAAGGCCAACCTGGTCTACATAGTTCCAGGCCAGCTGGGGCTACAGGGAGACCCTGTCTCAAAAAAGACCAGAAAAAAAAGGAATTTAGCAGTCCCACTCCAGGAGTACCTTCATTGGAGTACTCCCCAGCCCTCTGGTTCTTTGGCTTCCACATCTAACAAATTTCCCATGTTCTCCCCTCTTTTGTTGTTGCAGTGCCTAAGGTGAAACCGTGAGTGTTGGCACATACTAAGCAAGCCCTCTACCTTTTAATGACCCGAAACTTGTCTGCCCGTGTCCTCCCTCTGACACCTTTCCTTGCTTTCTCCAGGGAATGCGACACCGCTTGAGAGGTAGTGTCAATGCTGTGAGGATCCGAGCACCCCAGATTGGAGGTGAGGGGATTGGGGGAACATAAGATGTGATGACAGCTTTAAGGGTAGTTGATACTTTGAGAATAGACTTTAAGTTGAGAGGTCCAGATTCTAACTCAAAGTCTGACTGGGGACTTCCCCCTGTGGGGGGTTTCGGTGTTTGTCATTTCCCAACAGTTTACTAAGAGAGGGCAAGAATGTATGCTCCTGGCCTGCTATGGTGGTGCACACCTTTAATCCCAGCACTCAGGAGTCAGAGGCAAGCAGATCTCTATGAGATCAAGACCAGCCTGGTCTACTTAGTGATTTCCAGTCCAACTGGGGCTACAGGGAGACCCTTGTCTCAGCCGCCCCCATAAGAAGAATGTGTGCTCATGTTAGCAGCACATACACTAAAATTGGATGGATACAGAAATTAGCATGACCACTTCTCAAGGATGACACCTAACTTCGTAAATTCATGAAATGTTCCATATTTAGAAAAAAGAAAAGAAAGGGCAAGAATGTATATTCTGCAGTTTTAAGCCCAGGGGGTGACTTTTCCTTGTTATATGACCTTAGGCTAATGCCATATTTCCTCCAAACCTCATCTGATGATGGTAGGTTGGATCATCTTATGGGTAGGTTAGTAATTAATTTATATAGTACTTACTAAGTGCTGGTTATGCTAAGCCCTTTGATAAGATTATAACTGAACTTGTTGAAGTCGACTAATACAGAGTTCCTCAAGAAAATCCTGGAACACAGTAAGCACCCAAGAAACATTTTAATTGTAGGTTGAATATCCTTATCCAAAATGCTTGCCACCGGAGGTGTTTCATAGTTCAGAGTGTTTTGGATTTTAAAATATTTGCATTTGCATAATGAGATATCTTAGGAATGACATCCAAAGTCCAAATGCAAAATTGCTTCTGTTTCATATACATCTTATATACATATCCCAAAGATACTATTTTTTGAGACAGGGTCTTACTCTGTAGCTTAGGCTGGCCTCTAACTTGAGGCAATCCTTCTGCCTCAGCTTGTTTTTTGTTTTTTGGTTTTTTTTTTAGTCTTTTTGAGACAGGGTCTTCCTGTAGCCCCAGCTGGCCTTGAACTCAGATCCGCCAGCCTCTGCCTCCAGAATGCTGGGATTAAAGGTGTGCGCCACCACACCCCGCTTCTGCCTCAGCTTCTTACATGCTGAGATTTCAGGTTATGTCTCTAGCCTCAAAGTGTTATTTTATACACTATAAATGCACACACACACAAATGAGTTCCAGGCCAACTAGGACTCCACGATTAACCAGATGCCCAACCCTACATATTTCATTTTATTAGGGGTTGTAGTCTTGAGGCTGGGGATATAGCTCAAATTGTAGAGTGCTTGCCTAACAGGCACAAAGTTCAGTCCTCGGCACCACATATAAACTGGGGATGGTCGTGCACACTTGTAATCTCAGCATTTGAGAAGTAGAGGCAAGAGGCTCAGAAGTTCAGGATCTTCCTTGGCCACATAGCAAGTTTGGGTCATGGGCTACATGAGACACTGTTTCGAAATAAGGAAAGAGATGGGAGTTGGGGGGCAGGGGGTAGGTCTCAGGGATGGGATGTTGCTCAGTGATAAAGCACTTGGCTAACTTGTTCCATGTTCCATGGGGATGGATTTCATCCCCACTACCACCAAAACCAAAACATAACCAAAACAAAAAACGGGTCTTGCTGTATTGTCCAGGCTGGTCTCAAACTCTGGGACTCAAGTGATTTGCCTCAGTTCCTCATCCTCCCAAGAAGCTGGGAATACAAATATATACCACTGCACTTGCTAGTTTTATACTGCATGTTTAGTGCTCCTGAATTTTCACTATGTCCTGTCACATGAGAGCAGCAGGAATTTTCTATTTATAGTGTTAATGACCATTCTCAAAAAGTTGTAGGTTTTTGTAGCATTTTGGATTTGTAGATTATGAATGTTTAACATATATTTTTTTTTGGCCTTTTTGAGACAGGGTCCCCTGTAGCCCCAGCTGGCCTGGGACTCACTATGTAGACCAGACTGGCCTTGAACTCAGAGATCCACCTGCCTCTGCCTCCTGAGTGCTGGAAAAATGTTTAACTTATATTCTGTACTGGCTTTCCTGACCCGTTTTTTTTTTTTTTTCTCCCTGAAACCAAAGAATTCCAACTTGATTGGTATTTAAAAAGTGAAAGTTGCTGTATTAAAATCCATATAGGCCGGGCATGGTGGCATATGCCTTTAATCCCAGCACTTGGGAGGCTGAGGCATGCGGATCTCTGTGAGTTCAAGGCTGTCCTAGTCTACATAGTTCCAGGCCAGCTGGGTCTACAGGGAGACCCTGTCTCAAAAAGGCAAAAAATGAATAAATAAATAAATAGATAGATAGATAGATAGATAGATAGATAGACCCTGTCTCAAAAGGCAAAAAATAAAAAAATAAATAGATGATAGATAGATAGATAGATAGATAGATAGATAGATAGATAGATAGATAGATAGATAGATAGATACAAATAAAGTAAAAGCCATATAAAAAGTTAACATACTTGTATCTGTTTATCAAATAAAGGTGAAGGGGATTTTGTTGGCAACCACTGATTTCTTGAAGGGGGAGCGCCTCAGGCTGGGGAAGATAGAAGGCTCTCTGGGAGCTTGCCACTTGTCTCTATGCATGGGCTTCTTTCCTCTTGCTTCCTTCTTAGTTGTGTTTTTCTGTGTGTGTTTGGGGTGTGTGTGTGCTGGGAATCACCCTAGGCAAGCACATTCTGTCATTGAGCTCCATCTCCAGACCTCAGCCTCTTTCTTGCTTTTCTTGGCCAGAGCCTTCAGACCTTGGAAGTCCCCGGATGCTGAGAGTCTTCAGAATTTCTGGGAATCACTAATGAAGCTTCTGTCCCCCTACAGGTAGCTTCGCAGTGTGGGGGGGGCTGTTTTCCACCATTGACTGTGGCCTGGTGCGACTGCGGGGCAAAGAAGATCCCTGGAACTCCATCACCAGTGGTGCATTGACCGGGGCTGTGCTGGCTGCCCGCAGTGAGTGCCCCTAGCTCCTAACCCCTGGCTCCAGCCCTTTCCCTCCCTGTTCTGCCTACCCTTCCTCACCTCTCTCTCTTTCCACCTCTCAGGTGGCCCGCTGGCTATGGTGGGCTCAGCAATGATGGGGGGCATCCTTTTGGCCCTCATCGAAGGTGTTGGCATCCTCCTCACCCGTTATACCGCCCAGCAGTTCCGAAATGGTGAGGTCCTGGTAGCTGATGGTCACGAAGAGGCAGGAAGCACTGTTAGCCTTCTGCACTCTTCATCACCTCTTTCCTTCATTCTTACCTCTACAGCTCCCCCGTTCCTGGAGGACCCCAGCCAACTCACCCCTAAGGAAGGCGCCCCGGCCCCAGGTTATCCCAGCTACCAACAGTACCACTGAGGGAAGTCGCTGCATGACCCTGCCACTGTGGGAGCTGCTCCTCAGTTCCCTCCCCTGTGTTCTACCTCCAAGGGAGGACTGGCTCCTATGTAGCCCTGAGATTCTCCAGAGAGGGCCTTTACTCCCTTGTTCTATGGTGGGGGTGGGGCACCCAGCAGCCTTGTCACATGGGTCCCCTATTTGTCTCTCAGGGCACCCCAGCCTCACACATGTAACAACTTCTCACCCCAGTTCCTTCATGTGGCACTCTTGAGTATTTAAAGCCAGTTTTGAAATGCCTTGTGTATGTACTTCTTCACCACTTGACGATCCCCACATCCCTTTCTAGGGACTTGGAAGTTTAGGACTTGGAGTCGTACAGTGAGTGGGTTCTACTAAGGATTTTTTTGGAGGCGGGGTCTCACCATGTAGTTCAAGCTGACCTTGAGCTTGTGATCCTGCTTTTATCTCTCAAGTGCTGAGTTTACAGGTAGATGCCACCATAGTCAGCTTCCAGTAAAGGTTTGCAGGAGCAAGGGAGGAAAAGATGCACAAAGATGTGAGTAGGAGCATGAATAAGGGTGCTTAGAGGCCAGTAGATGGACCAAGCAAACAGAAGCAAGCTTGAGAAAGGACAGCAGCACAAAGATTCCTGAGGTTGGAGTTCTGCACATTGCACTCCTTATGCTGTGCATATACTCCCCAGGAACCCTGACCCTTCTATAAGCTCCCCTTGTGGAGACTGGGAAACCGGGCCCATAAAAAGCCCTTTCTGGGGGCTGGAAAATGGTTCAGCAGTTAACACTGGTTGTTCTTGTAGAAGACCCAGGTTTGAATCCCAGCACCCACATGGCAGCTAACAACTGCCCGTAACTCCAGTTCCAGGGGATCCGACAGTCTCTTCTGCCCTTTGTGGGCATTGCAGGACATGGGTGTACTTACCTACATGCAGGGAATACACTCATACACATAAAAATATATAAATAATAAAAATATTTTAAAAGATAAAAATAAATCTTAAGCTCTTTCTGAATACTAGTCATCCCCATTTACAAAAATAACCCAACCTGTGTGGCCTTGTGGCAGCCCCCTGAGATAGAGGTAGGAATCGGAGGCTCTGCTTCCTCAAAAAAGGTGCCTTGTCACACAGTTCTTGCTATTCTTCCAGTGCTTGGTGATTTTTTAAAAATATTTTATTATTTTCATTTTATGTGTATGAATGTATTGCCTGCATGTATGTAAGTACACCCGTGTCATGCACTGCCCACAGAGGTCAGAAGAGAGTGTCGAATCTCCTGGAACTGGAGTTAATGAATAGTTGTTGGCCACCAAATGGGTGCTGGGAACAACCCAGGTTCTCTGTAAGAGCAGCCAGTGCTCGTATCCACTGAGCTGCTTGTTTGTTTGTCTATTTATTTATTTATTTATTTTTGGTCTTTTTGAGACAGGGTCCCCCTGTATTCCCAGCTGGCCTGGAACTCACTATGTAGACCAGGCAGGCCTTGAACTCACAGAGATCCACCTGCCTCTGCCTCCCAAGTGCTGGGACCACAGGCATGCACCACCACACCCAGCTTATTTATTTTTGAAATTTTTATTTTTTATTTTTATGTGTATAATTGTATTGCCTGCATGTAGGTAAGTCCACCGGTGTCGTGCAATGCCAGCAGAGGACAGAAGAGGCTGTCAGATCCCTTGGAACTGGAGTTACGGACAGTTGTTAGCTGCCATGTGGGTGCTGGGATTCAAACCCAGGTCTTCTGCAAGAACAGTCAGTGTTCTTAACCACTGAGCCATGTCTTCAGTCCTTGCTGTTTATTTTTAAAGACAGGGTCTCATTTGTCCTAAGGTGGCCTCTAAACTGCTATGTAATGGAGGTATGGCCTATAAATTGATTCTGTTGTCTTAGCTTCCCAAGTGCTGGGATCACAGGTGTGTGCCACCACACCCACTTTTTGTTTTTTGTTTGTTTGTTTGTTTGGGGGAGCCAAGTGATTCAGGCTCCAGGGTTTTTCTGAAGGCTAATTTGGGGGGGGGGCGGAGACAATTCATGCACCATGTGGAGTTCAAAGGACAATTTTCTGGAATTGGTTCTATGGTTTCCGGAATCAAATTCCACCATCTCAGTCTCAGTCTGTCCTGTCCCTGTCCCTATCCCCACCTCCTACCACCTTCATTTGTTTTTTAAGGGTGGCCATTGTGTGCCCAGAAATGCTCATTTGAGGTATGGGAAAGATTTTTCTGGATGGACCTTATCCAAATTCTGTCATTCTGTGCAATCCCCTAAGTGGGTAGAACAAACATTGTCTCTAATGGGGTCCAGATGCCCGGGGGAGGAACAGAAGTTTCCAGAAAGTTTAAGGTATTTTTTTTCCCACCCTGAGTGCTACAGTGCAAAAATGGCCTTGTGAATGATAAAATTTTTTTCTGGGCTGGGTATGGTGTGATACACCTTTGATCCCAGCACTTGGAGGCAGAGGCAGGCAGATCTCTATGGGATTGAGGACAGCCTGGTCCACACAGTGAGTTATAGGCCAGCTGGGGCTGCAGGGAGACCCTGTCTCAAGAAACCAAAAAAAAATTGTTTTTCTGCAAGCCACTTGCAAGGAGATAGAACCGTCCGTCAACATAAAATCAACAACCCTTTTAATCACAGCACTTGTGAGACAGGCTGGCAGATCTCTTGAGTTCAAGGTCAGCTGGGGCTATTAGGAAACCCTGTCTCAAAAAGACTAAAAAAATAAACCTGAAGGTAAAGGGCCAGTTCTAGGGCCTCTTAAGGCCCCTAACAAGGATCTGGTGGGCCTCAGTGGTGGCAGTTGAAGTGCCTAGGAGTGTATAGCCATTCCACTGACCTCCCTGGGAAAGACAGGGCAGCTTAGGGTCTGTGGATGTATTCAGCACCCTATTAGAGCCAAGCCTTGAAGCTGTTGGTCTGCAGGGTCTCTGATGAACAGGGGCTCCATAATCCCCAAAATTCAGAGCCCCCATGTCTTAGCTGCTCAGCCTCCTGCTCCCAGAGGCCCTGCCCCCTCTAGGAGGATCTAGGCCTGCCACCTCTTACTTTGTATGCAGGATTCTCTAGGTTCGAACCCTTGGGCTCCTGGATTCAGCCCTGTGCCTTCTCATCTTAACACCCTGCTCCCCAAGACTTGCTGGCCCTCCCGGTCTACACACATAACTATCCGATGGTCCTTGGCACTACAAGACCTCACAAAGTTCCCAAATCTTGCCAGTGAGGTGACGGGATCCTGATGAGCTTCAGGCCTCCCCTCTCCCCCCTCCGCAGTTTACAATCTAACTTCCAGGCTTAGAGGGTACAGAGAGAAGGGACTGTCCTTTGAGGACATGCAGGCATCTTCTAAGATGTGCCATGACCTACATGTTCCTCAGATAGCAACCTGTACATGATGGTCTTGCTCTTCCCTTAAACTGGCTAGGATTTCATTTTTTAAATAAAACTAGTATAATTCTCTCTCTCTCTCTCTCTCTCTCTCTCTCTCTCTCTCTCTCTCATTAAATCTATTTCCCCTGGAGTCATGGGAAATATTTGCTTACTCTCTCCAGCCAAGAACTTGGTAGTTTTGTGAAGCCTATCTGCTTGATAACATACAGACATGTCTACTCAAAAAGACAGCTTCAGGCTGGAGAGATGGCTCAGCGGTTAAGAGCACTGACTGCTCTTACAGAGGACCCAGGTCCGAATCCCAGCACCCACATGGTGGCTAACAACCGACCAGAACTCCAGTTCCAGGGGATCCAATGCCCGCCTCTGACTTCAGGCATTGCACAACACTGGTATACTCACATACATGCAGACAATACTCATACACATTAAAAAAAAAAAGACAACTTCAAAGTACATACTTGACAAAATAGTCACAATACTCTTGAAAGAAAAAAATAGTAAGAAACAAACGGGTTGGAGAGATAGTTTAGTGGTTAAGAGCACTGGCTTCTCTTGCAGAGGACCTGGGTTTGCTTATCAGCACCCACATGGCAGCTAACCGGCTGTAGCTCTAGTTCCAGGGGATCTAACGCCCTCTTCTGGTCTCTGTGGGCCTTGCATGCATGTAGTGTACATATATACCATGAAGGCAATACAGTCATACACAGAAAATAAAATCATAAAAATATTTTTAAAAAGAGAGAAAGCAAAACAATCCAAAACAGCAACAACAAGAGGGGCATGGTGGGGCCCACCACCTTTAATCCCACCACTTGGGAGGCAGAGGCAGGCGGATGTCTGTAAGTTCGAAACCAGCCTGGTCTACATGGGGAGTTCCAGGCCAGCTGGGGCTACATGGAGCCCCTGTCTCAAAAAGACCAAAAACAACATAAAACAGCAACACCAACAAGACATGGCTATGGTGCATGGTGCACATGCAATCCCAACAGTTGGAAAGTCAATGCAGGAGGATCAGGAAGTCCAGGTCATCCCTGGTGAGTTCAAAGTCAGCCTGGGGTATGTGAAACCCTGTTTCAAAAATCCAAAAAATGAAAATAAATGGAAGCAGAACTGAACATGGTGGCATCGCAGAAGTTTGTAATCCCAGCACTTGGGAGGCTGATGCAGGATGATCTCTTGGTCTACATAGTGAGTTCCAGGCCAGCTGGGGCTACAGGGAGACCCTGTCTCAAAAAGACCAAAAAAATCTTAAAAGATAAAGAAGGATGAGGCAAGTAATACAGAAAAATACTTTGCAAAATAGGAAACCCACCAGGTGCGGTGGTATATACCTTTGATCCCAGCATTTAGAAAGTAGAGACAGATCTCTGTGAGTTTGAGGCCAGCCTGGTCTATGTAGCTCGTTCCAGGCCATCCAGGGCTGCATAGTGAGACCCTGTCTTGGAAGAAAGGAAAGGGGGGAGAGAGGGAGGGAGGGAGAGAGGAAGAGAAAGAAAAGGAAACCATTTGGGGGGCTGGGACTGGGGATCTAGCTTTGTAGTAGAGCACTTGCCTGGTAAGCCCAAGGCCCTGGCTTCATGACTCCACCACTGCAAAAAAGAAATGAATCTAAGAATGTTTATGGTCTGGACAAGGTAGCACACACCTTTAATCTCAGCTCTTGGGAGGCAGAGGCTGGTGGATCTCTGAGTTCCAGGCTAGCCTGATCTACATAGCAAGTCCCAGGCCAGCTGGGACTACTGGGAGACCCAGTCTGAAAAAATAAAACAAAGCTGGGCTTGGTGGCTCCTGCTTTTAATCCTAGCACTTGGGGGGTAGAGGCAGGCAGGTTTCTGAGTTCAAGGCCAGCCTGGTTTACATAGTGTGTTCCAACTGGGGCTACGGGGAGAAG